TGGAACAGACAAAACTCGGTTTTCCGAAGGAAGAAGCGTCAGCAGGAAGACCGAGATCGCGAGACGATGGAAAATCTGTACCGCGTAAACAACACACGGAAGTTCTATGAGAGGCTACGTGCCGCAAGCCGATATGTGCAAGGACTTGGACGGTAACCTTCTCACGAACGAGTGTGAGGTGATTGAGAGGTGGAAGCAGTACTATGACGAGCACCTCAACGGTGAAGAAAACGAAGGTGGCACGGCAACAGACCTTGGAGCACGCGCAGAAGACGACAGGCTACCGGCCCCTGATCTTCAAGAAGTTGAGGAGGAGATCGGTCGGCTGAAGAACAACAAAGCAACTGGCGGCACACTGCTGAGTGCCGCCTACAAGGTACTCAAATTCTATGCCGCCGTCTGTCACCATTTGCAAGAGAGTTCGTGGGGCAATAACAGGCGGGATTCATGGGTGCCCGCGCTACCACGGACTAAATTTTTGCGATTCTGCAGAAATGCCGCGAATACAACGTGCCCACACATCATTTGTTCATCGATTTCAAATCCGCATACGACACAATCGATTGAGATCAGCTATGGTAGATTTTGCACGAGCACGGATTGCCGGACAAACTGACGCGATTGGTCAAGGCGACGATAGATCGAGTGATGTGCGTTGTTCGAGTATCGGGACACTCTCGAGTCCCTTTGAATCTCGAAGGGGGTTACGGCAGGGTGATGGACTTTCGTGTCTGCTGTTCAACATCGCGTTAGAAGGTGTGATCAGAAGAGCTGGGATAGACACGAGTGGCACGATATTCAGGAAGTCCATCCAGCTCCTTGGCTTCGCCGATGACATTGACATCATTGCACGGAACTTTGAGATGATGGCGGAAACGTACATCAGACTGAAGGCTGAAGCTAGACGGATTGGACTTGCCATCAACGCATCAAAGACAAAATACATGAATGGAAGAGGTTCTAGGGAAGACAATGTTAGCCTCCCACCCCGAGTTCAGATTCACGGTGACGAAACCGAGGTGGTCGATGAGTTCGTGTATTTGGGCTCACTGGTGACCGCCGAAAATGATACCAGCAGATAAATTCAAAGACGCATTATGGCAGGGAATCGTGCCTACTTTGGACTCCGGAGGACGCTCCGATCGAATAAAATTCGCCGCCGCACGAAGTTGACTGTCTACAAGACGTTGATTAGATCGGTGGTCCTCTACGGCCACGATACCTGGACTATGCTCGTGGAGGACCAACGCGCCCTTGGTGTTTTCGAACGGAAGGTGTTGCGTGGAGGAGGCGAATGAACCACGAATTGCACCAGCTGCTGGGAGAACCATCCATCGTCCACATTGCAAAAATTGGGCGACTACGGTGGGCTGGGCACGTCGTAAGAATGCCGCACGACGACCCAGTTAAAATGGTTCTAGAAAGCGACCCAACAGGAACAAGAAGAAGAGGCGCGCAGCGGGCAAGATGGATCGATCAAGTAGAAGGTGACCTGCGGACCCCTCGCAGACTACGAGGCTGGCGAACTGTGGTCATGGATCGAGTAGAGTGGAGACGACTTCTTCGGACAGCAGAGGACAACAAGGCCTTCGCCTGATTGGTAAGGTAAGTACAACTCTGCATTGAATAAATTCTAGAAAATTGTTTCGCTTAGCTGTAGCAATGCAAAGAGAAAATCGATGAAGAGAATCGACCATCGCTTATACGCCCTTATGCATGCTCAATGTCGAATTATCTAGTTAATATCTGATATCTCGCGCAACACGATATGATATGTACTGCACATTTTTCAAGATCCCGAACACAGAGTTTTGTTTAAATGTTCTGACACATCAAAAAAAAAATCTCATGCTTACTAATCACTGATCACTGATAACGCCCTAATTGATATGCTTATTGGAACGCTAAACAAAAAACAGTCCTGGCTACACCTTCGTCTACGTCCACCCGTGTTTCCCATCACAGAACAGAAGAGAACCGACCAACCGAACCGTTCGTGGGAATGTTGTCAACTTTCGCAATCGCATTCTACTCTACTTCGACAGCTCCGTATTGTTGCATGTCGCCTGACGTACCAACAACTACTCAAAGTGGATTATCCTATACCACTAAATGACGATGAAGCGCAGAGTGTGACACGATTACGAGGAAACATAGTTATTGACTTCTGTTGATTTGGGCAGACAGACAAATAATATCAGACAAAAGGCGCCATTCGTGGGCTATCGCCACGAAGCATAACTTGCTTCATTAGCTTCTTGTTGAACCGACCACGGCGTTGACCAAATTGAAATTGGAGTCTATTGACCCGAAACGCTTTTTTTGTTTGTTTTGCTAACTTCGATGGATTCAGACATGAGGTACTCTTGAGGAATTTGTTCGCTAGGTTGCGCTGAGTCAGGGGTTCGAATTTCTGTAGCGAAATTAATCGATTCGTACGCAAATAAAAAGGGTACACGTTTTAGTGGAAACCAATGTTAACGATGAAAAACTATTCCATTGCAAACAACGTTTCATGGGTCGCATTCCCACACGAACAGCATCAGCGTTGAGCAAGAGCATAACGCATAGGATGATCAACAGAGAGGAAAAAATAAGCGAAGAAAAGTGTGTAAGTGGACGTGATTGCTGTGCTGCTGGATGGGGCAGAGCAGACGAGGACGTTGACGGTTGTTTGGTTGATGATGATGCTGGTATAGGGTTACCATCAGGTTATATGAGAAGTGAAAAGATTCCTTCAAGATCGTATAATAAGGAATTTTGCTTCCAACATGTGCGCAAGAAAATGATAAATTGATTGCCACTCTTTTGCGTAACGGCTGGAAGCTCTGATAACCCTAATTCTCTTTTGCATCATATCACACAGAGTTGCACAAATGCGCCTGATGCACTTGTTTCGATTATGTCTTCTCACTCCTCCCCTCACCAGCATCTCTCGGTGCTATAACTCAAGTATGCACTTTCCTCCCTGGCAACAGGATCCTCTGCCTACATACGGGCGCGGAACGATATGTGAGAAGGAAAAAAACGGTACAGTACAAAGTAGGTAAAAGGGTAGGTACATGCAACAAGATGAGACGAAGCCAACCAGTCAACCAAGCATCATATCAGCCAGCAGGTCTTCCCTCGGTCGTTAGTGCTGTGTTTTACATCACATCTTCGCGGGTGCGGAATGTGTGTGTCTATGCGAGTCTCGCGAGCATCTTCCCTTTTTTTTTGTATGTGATAAAAACAACAACAGCGTGGGTACACAATAACATGACACGGAAAAAAAGGGCGAGAAAAACCCGGGTCGTCCGTATGGCGTCGAAGGCGAAAGTATGTATGTAGCTGAGACGCATGTAGTACGAAGAAAATGTTCATATTCACAGTAACTGTTGTTGTTTGCAAAGGAGGCATCATCAGCATCGCGTCGTCGGGTCGTATGTGATGGAATTCGTTATGTTTCTGGTGTTTTAATATGAACAGAAGGAAGTGAGATCGGATCGCACGATGCATTGTGAATGTAATTTTCCCGCACACTCATGAACCCCTTTGTTTTGTTTTATGCCAGCGGAGAGTGCATCTCCTATGTAGGACCGAACCCTTGTGAGAAGGATTTTTTTTACACTTCAAGCTGCTGCAATTGGAATATGCGTGTATTTGAAATCTACACCCACAATTTGCATTGCCCCTTTTCGGAACTTTCTGCTCTGCTAAAAGGAAATGGATCATACTTGTGAAATTTAGAGAAACCCTCAATGTGAAGAAGGAAAACACTCCAGGGGTGTCTTCCTTAGAATGATAATACGTTTGAACGAGATTCTCCTTGTGAAAATTCATCACCACTTAAGAAGACTTCCATAAGACATAATTTAACTTCAGAATTCCATAAGACACGAGTAATTTATTTTCGATGATCCGATCCGAAGAAGGAGATCAGCGTGTTCGCTGAAGCTTCATCAGTCCTCTGGCCACAAGCAGCCCAACGTTGGAGGGTTATCTAAAATTGGCCTACAATATACTACGTCATTAATGGATGGTCCCTAATAGAGTATTCAGGACTTTCTCCAGGAATCAAGTCTCCTGTGGTATTTCTTGATTAATTCCGGAGCTCGACTGGGACTGACAGAAAAGCATACATATGAAAGATACCACATCACACAAGCCTCAGATAATAAACCGAATAAGTTAAACACTTCTTATGGTTATTTTATGTGTGAAAATCGGTACGTTGGATCACCACATTTTAGAAAACACCCGACATGATCTGACCCGATCAGATGTTCTCCGCCGGAAATACACATAATTTATAATTACCATACACGATGAAGCATATATTTTACCAATTTTAGACCCCTCCGTAGCGTATTCTGGCCGAGCACAAATTTCCAAAAGTGGCATTCCATGACATTATATTTCTTCTAAAATCATTGCATCTGATTCCTTGGCGAATATTTCAAGAAGCTTATTAAATCGAATAGCAGAGAAACAAACTCCCTTCGAGTCTTGCTAATAGCTCAAACTGCATACAGTCAAATTGTCCCACCAAAGACCAACACTTTTCGGGACCGCACATTCCGGCAGCACTCGTCTCCCTTCCGTCAATGGTAGCTTATGCACCGGTTGGCAAGCACCGCGCACCGAAAGAACAGGACTTGTCATCTTTGTTCAATTTTCGTTTCTGTTTGTGTTCTCGTCTCCTTGTGGTCGTCGGTCGTTCGATATGGATCCCTTTTCTACGTCTTTACGTCTAGCACCACCACCGACGACGACGACGACGACGATGAACCCAATCGCGTTTCGTCGTCGCTTCCCGAAAAGGGTTCAATGAAACATGATGCGGCGACTTTTCCCTCGAGGGAGAATGTATGCGAATTGAGATGGAGCTTTCCCATCCTTATTTGGACCGAGTGGCTCAGAATGGAAATCGGAACTTCTGCATTCTCTCGGGACATTTATTATTAATTAAAAACACGGAAGCACCAGGTTTTATACTCAAACTATAGAATGCCACTTACCCATCGCAGCAGCAGTTCTATTTTCTTCCAGACTTTCGATACGTTCTCCAGAATGCCTTCGTCGTGTGTTTAGGTCGTTTAAACCGTCAGTACAGTCATCATCATCATCATCAGCGCCGTAGCCATCATCCGGAAGCTTTTATGTTTGTGTTGTTCTTTGCTGCGCTTTACTGCAGCACTGTAGCAGCCTCCTCCACTCGGATCTGCTGCTACAACTTTTGCCCAGCCTTGCCACTGAAACTGAGAATTTTCAACTTTTCACCACCAGAACGCACTTTCACCGGCGTAAACTACTTAGCGAGATACAATTTAATTAATTTTCACTTGCTTTCAGCCACTTTTCTGCCTGCCAGACATGTCACACGCCCCAAAACTCCAGCTCAAATTTTTCACTCTTCTGTCTCCAGCGAAATCTCAGCTCCCCCTCGTGCCGAGATTTCGTGTTTTGCTTGTTTCGCACTTTCCCCCAATGGTCACCCAGAAATAACACACTGTTCCACTCGTATAGCGATCAATTATTAACACCAATATTCTCGAGGACATTCACTTGGGACCAGAGAGCAAAAAAAGGAAAATAACGCGTATCCGAAGAACCGATTTACACACCCGACGGCGACGGATTTTCGATTCAATCTGAATCTCACTCGTTCCGTTTGACGTTCTCCGCTTGGGTTCAAAATCGAACCGCAAAAGTGACTGACAGCGCTCTGACAGTTTGTTTCGATTGCGTATTCGTCGATGAAGGAGGTTTTGTTTTGGCGGCTGCGGTTCGTCGATTCGATTTTGCACGGCCGTTGGGAACTCCCAAAAAAATTTTAAACAATCAATTACTTTCAGAGAAGTGCAGTTACTTATTTTTGCGAAATTGTGCCCAATTTGTGGTATAAATTCGTTTATGTTATAATTCTGTATTTACTGATCATGGAATTAGACTCAATATTAGCAATGAGCAACAAAATCCTTTCTTCTGAAAATGTTAATTTTAATCATTTTTGGTTTGTTCTCAAAGGCCGTGCATTTGTTCGTCGATTAGTGGTGGAGTTTCGACTAGTTGCCGCTAGGTAGTGTTGGTTCTCCAGCGGTAGACGCCAGATACACGGTAACCGCAAAATACCCAAAAATGACTATAAAAGACTCGAAATTGACCACAAAGCAAGCATTTCGAGGCAGACTGGGACTACCCATTAAATCAGTAAAAAAATTACTGATTTATGATTATTTGTTACTCACAAATTAATATACAGTATGCAAAAAAAGTTTATCCACCCCCTACCAATTAACAATTTTGTTTTGTTTTTCTGGTGAAAATCAATTTAATTTTATGAGTGTTCCTCCATGATTTATCCATTTATGTTTATTTATCACATTGGCATTGAAAATATGGCGTTTATATCTTTTATTGAGATTTCATGTGATACATTATCACAAACGAAGTGACAGACGACTTACTGGCGAAGAAATCCATTAAAATAATGTGGTTCACTGTAATAGAATTTTCTTGGAAGCTTGTGCCATCATCCACCAGATGGGTTAGTTTTTTTGTTTGGATTTGAACAAAGTTGATTTTGTGTACAATGATTCTTTGACAGTGTGCAAAGAGTGCGTATCATTTTGTCATTTTTTTTATGCATTTCAGTTTTGAGTACACAGCAAAAAAAGTTGTTGAATATTACATCGAAACTGCTGCAACCAAGTCAATCAATCGGTTGTGTAATATCACATTGTACGATGTACATCGATTTTGCGAACAAAATTACATCCATTGATGTAATATTGTGTCTGCTTTTTGCTATTACATCATTATTTCATACATCAGCTTGAATAACGTTGATCGATATTACATTTTTTTTTGCTGTGTAGAGTGAAAGAGATATAACCAAAACATTCTAGTACATTCGGTTAAAATGCTAGTTCAATCTAGTAGTAGTGTTGCCATGTGGTACAATCCAGTAGTAGTAGTGTTGCCATGTGGTACACTGAAAAATTGCAATAGCAGGTTAGTCACCAAAGTTTTCGAGCCGCTCCGTCTGTCACTTCGTTTGTGGTTTTAGTGTGTATTCTGCAACTTTCTCGAATGTAAACATTGTGTCTAGCTGTCATTTAGTGCTCTTGAAGTTTTCGTGCTCAAAATTTCAGTTTCGTGTTCAAAATAAGAAGTTATTTGTTGCAAAATGCCCAAAAAAAGCACAAATTTCGATCAGTATCCGAAATTTGATTATTGAGCATCACAAAACTGGCCAAAGCTACCGTGATATTGCCGATATTGTCCAGAGCTTCACAAAGATACAGAAAGCGTGGTTCTATCTCACCAGCTAAGCGACCGGGGCGTCCTTCAAAGACAACTGGCCGAATTGACAGAGCTATCGTGAAGAAGGTGGAGCTCGACCGGGGACTATCAGCTCCGAAAATTGCGAAACAGATTGAAAGCGAGTTTTCCATTCAACTGACATCACAATCCGTACGAAATCGTCTTCATAAGAAAGGTCTTAAGGGCAGAGTAGCTCTTAAGAAGCCATGGTTGTCCGCAATATCCCAAGTAACAATTTCCAGTTGAAGAAACGCTTTCGTTTTGATTTTGTTCAGCTGCATGTTGAATAATAATTGCACAATGTGTTCACCACAACTTTTATAAAACCCTTGTTTACACTCGTTTGGAGAACCTATACAACTGCAACACAAAGGTGTTGTCTAACGTATTCAGTAAAACGTTTGCCCAAAATCAATTTCTTGTTGAAGAAACGCTTCCATTGTGATTTTATTCAACTGCATGCTGAATAATAACTGTACAATTTGTTTATTACAACTTCTGTAAAACTCTTGTTTACACTGGTTTGGAGAACCTGTTCAACTACAGCATTATATGTCTACGCGGTATAGGAGTAGAAGCAACTTTTATACAACGTTTATAGATACATATTTAAACTCAAGCTTTATTATTTTGGTGAAAGCTCTTATACAACGTTTGTAGACACTTCTTGACAGCTGCTTTGAAATTTAGTAGAGAGTAAACCTGAGAGGCGTTTGTTGCACTCTTTTATGACTCCTAAATAATCATTGTACAGCAAGCCGTGAAAAGCGTTTACAGCACTTTTCAATGACTCCTTAACAACCGGATAGAAGCAACTTTTATACAACGTTTATAGATACATATTTAAACTCAAGCTTTATTATTTTGGTGAAAGCTCTTATACAACGTTTGTAGACACTTCTTGACAGCTGCTTTGAAATTTAGTAGAGAGTGAACCTGAGAGGCATTTGTTGCACTCTTTTATGACTCCTAAATAATCATTGTACAGCAAGCGGTGAAAAGCGTTTATAGCACTTTTTAATGACTCCTTAATAACCGTTGTGTAAGTACTCACAATATTCACAGATTAAAATTAGTTTAACAATTGTCGTGGTACGCCAAAATAATTGCTTGTACAGTTTTTATTAATTTAATTTATTTGTGCACATTGAAAAAATATGTAATTATGCCATAATACACATTCTGTGATCATGGAGGAAGTAGTAACTAGCATCGGTTTAATCTTTGATTGATATTCTTTCGATTAATCTCCCTAATAATTAATTGAGAGAATTTATCTAGAAATGTTATCGTTGATTATATGATATATGTCTTAAATTAATGTTTGCATTTATTAATAAACACCTATATATATAATTTACCTCTACTCCACCGAGGGTTTCTCGAAGCAAGATTCGAACTCATGATCCCGGATTGCCAGCCGCTTCTGTTTCCATCTGCTCTATTCTTGAATACATATTTTGATCATATGAGAGAAGTATATGAAGCTCATCTTGAGTGACTTCTCTTGCAGTCGAATAATCATTGCCTTATGGTCATATAAACGTGCCTATCACTTGTGCTATTTTTAGCAACAAAATTGTGGTTGGTGGTTGGTCGAACGTAAACAATCATTTAAGAGTGCTCCAAGCAGCTTTTGAAGCTTTTAACCAAATGGCAATACAACTACATTCTTGTTCAACTCTGGAAGCTATTATTCAACGTTTGATCAACTCAGGTGTTGTATAAGAGCTCCCAATGGTTTGTTTTGATGCGTTTATGTCACGTTCTATATAGCTCTTGTCGATCAGTTTAACAAAGGTGCTATAAAAGTTATCGTAGGTCTTATAAAGCATATAGTTAAACCGAATGTAAACAATCATTTAAGAGTGCTCCAACAGCTCTTAAAACTTTTAATCAAACGGCAATACAACTACATTCTTGTTCAACTCTGGAAGCTATTATTCAACGTTTGATCAACTCAGGTGTTTTATAAGAGCTCTCAATTGTTTGTTGGGACTGCCACCAAAAATCATTGGCGGCTTTTTTTTTCCTTATTTTGACAGAGTGAAAACACGATGAAATATGCTGAATTTTCAGCAATCTTGTCAAGTTGCTGGTTTTCAGTTAAAACGAACCAAATTGCTAATTTTCAGTAAAATCGTAGATTGCTGATTGCTTTTTAGTAAACCATTTTGCTGAAATCTTTGATCAATTTTTGGTGTGTAGATTTCAGCTTTTCTACCACTGTAGCAGCAACCAGATGTAAATAAAATGCTCCATATATATATAGGAGAAATGGATGTAATGTATATATATAAATATATATCAAAAAAAGATTGAAGTGGGCTCAGGACCACATTTCATGGACCAGTGATGACTGGAATAAGGTGATCTGGTCAGACGAGACGAAAGTAATGCCATCACCATTGAAACCATCAGACCAAATAGCATTACTTTCGTCTCGTTTGACCAGATCACTTTATTATAGTCATCACTGGTCCATAAAATGTGGTCCTGGGCCCACTTCAATTTTTTTTTTGATATTTTTTGCGGACAAACATGATTTCTTAAGAGCTACTCTGCCCTTAAGACCTTTTTTTATGAAGACGATTTCGTACGGATTGTGATGTCAGTTGAATGGAAAACTCGCTTTCAATCTGTTTCGCAATTTTCGGAGCTGATAGTTCAAAATCGCTACCCGATTGTCAAGTCCCGTCTCAGGATTTTCGTCGGTCATTGGCGCTAGATAACTATGTGCTGTACGCTATAGGTGAGGCAGTGCCTCTTACGCT